TGTAGGTTGAGTTTTATTTTGTTGATGTTGTGGATGTGTTAATCCAATTGTAGGTTGTATGGGTTTATTAACAGAAACATTAGTTATGCCTGATTGTTGTTGTTGTGGTTTTGGTTGTATGACGGGTGCTCGCGAGACAGGAGTGCTACTGCCTGCTCGCTGTTGTGAGATAGCTGTATTACCCGTTACAGATGTATTATTTGTGAAACCTGTATTGGTTGTTGTAGCAAGACTAGCTGCATCGTATGGTACTGCACTAGTTCGTTCTGATTTGTGACTACTTTGTTCTGATTTGTGACTACTTCGTTCTGATTTGTGACTACTTGCTGGTGAAATACTTCGTTGTGTGCTTGTCTCAGCCATTGAAGTAGGATGAGCAGTATTCGTCACCGATGATGAGTCCCTAACACCACGAGAACTTGCTGTTTGTTTAGATGACACAGATGATGATGATGAACTACGTGACGTCATTGTAATAATTACGAAAACTTTAAAACCGTAAATATATTGTTTTTATTATCAAGGCCAAGGAAAAACTGAAATGATATTGATTTCTGTTGTGTCTATGAGAGTGGAAAGAAGAGAAATGAAAATGTAATTAAGGTTTTTATGGTTATTGTGAATCGATCAAGTGTAACGAAGGATAAGGACAAAAATAAAGACAATATAGAAAAAAAAAGACCAAACCATGTGTATGTGGTTATTACCCAGCATATAGATGCATTCTGAATTGCATATTATCTTGCTCATTTAGTTGACACATAGGATAAATATAAATATAAAACATGATTTGTAACAAACGTTTAGTCTTTGTTGCTTTCAAATACACAGTTGATACCTTATAATAAAGTATTCAAAAGCAGAAATGTTTACTATATATCGCTAGATGTCACAAATATCCAATCTAGATTGTTTTCACATACGGTTTATTATTGTTCTTTATGAAGTCTCTATGCTGATTTCTGTATTCTTCTTTGTTGGTTGATATTTATGTCGATGCATATTGTAGTGTAAACAGCTCATTGCATTATTTATCCATCCATTCTTCACCATTGCTAGTCCATTTATATCTCGAAAGTGTATATTCATAGACTTATCGATTAATATACCAGAAAGCGTCATATGTGTAGCACAATGTAGTAGTTCTTTTCTTCTATATCGTAGTTACTAACTGAGGTGGCATGTTTTTTCTTTCTGTTCTTTTTCATCCACTCTTATTTCAATACAAAAACACAAGTTGTCACCAGACTGCTGACACGATGTTAATAATAACTTTTCTTCCATTGACGCATTTCTGAAATTATTATCTCACTAACTAGCAAGAAAACAATAATTACAGTGTACCTATTAGTCTACTGTTCCTTTTTTACCTTATCAAACTATACTATAAAATGATTAATATTAATCCTTGTAATATTTGTTCTCGCTTATCTTTATTTCTTTTAATTATTCTTTCAGGTGTTTCAATTTTAGATTCATATTAATTACCTATCGAATAGACATGATACGTCGATGTACATCAATTGGCCTTATTGCCATCCTATTTTTAGGTAAAAATGATAGCTTTCATTATAGTCATTATTTTAACGATTTTCTAACAAAATATCTCATATTATAATAAGAATATTCAAAAGTATACATATATATGGATTATGATTCGTAGTATTTTCGTAAACTACAATGCAATTGATGTATATTTTTAAAAAATGAAATTGTTATATAGATTCACTAATATAAAATTTATTATACTATTCTTGTATCCTAAAATGATAATATCACTATTGAACAATTACTTTGCTTGCAAGCATTTTTCTTTTTTCTTTTTTTTTATAATTGTTTATTCTTGTTTTACGTAACTAACCAATTACTTCTTCTTTTCTATAGTAGTAATATCATACGGTCCAGTTTTATCTACCAATGAATTGATCCTTGATGATGATAATAATTTAGAGGATACCACTATTAGTACCACAACAACATCATTGTCAAGTAAACTAGCTTAAAATTTTCAGCTTAATAATTGGTTGAGGGCTAAATGATACAATTTTCTATTGAATAATTTGCTTGATTGTTTATTATTGTAAGGAATCCAATTTTAATTTGGATTTATTGTTCCTTTAGCTACAGTCACAGCTGATCCAAGCATAACAACAACAACAGCTATATCAACAGATACAACAGCATCAACAATGACTGCATCGACCACAGCTACAAGTACAACCGCATCGTCAACAAATACAGCAACTACAACTACAAGCCCATCAGACTTAACATCAGAAATAACGACTACAAGTACAAGCACAAGTCCAAGTACATCAACAACAACTGCATCGCCTATAATCTCAACTACAACAACACAATCGACAACAACCTCAGCGCCAGGTTGGAATATTTTTTTAAATACAATATTCTAGTTAATTTTTTAGGTCGTAAATTTGATGGTCTTTCATTTATGGGTGGTATAATTCTTACAGTTGGTCTTGGTGCAATCGCATTTCTAGTCTTACGTTATTTACGCCGTAATAATCGATTACCATATAGTGATTTACGCTAAACATTATTATATAGTTCTATGATTAAACATTACAAATATCATTATTTTCATCATAGAGAAATGACATATTTTTTGTTGATTTGTGTTTACTTTTGTTTTCTTCTGGGATTGGTTTACATGTTTATATACTTGAATGCAAAAACAAACTATTGTTGTGAACTTGCTTATTTTTGTTCTCTTGTTGATTTTTATTTTCTATTATTCAAGAATGAAACTGCTATTCTTATAATTACATATGACGTATTTCTTCAAGAAATCATGATAATTACATACTTTTTCTTGCAGGCATATAATATTTTCTTTTCCTACCTTGAATGATAAAAGAAAAATGAAAACAGTATTTTGTGTGCATTTGTTTTTTAATATTTATGTAATTTTTTTATCCTTATGTCGTTTTGCAATATTTTCAATTAATATTATCTATGTCATGCATATGTAAGAATGTTGATCAAAAAAAAAACAATTCTTTCAGTACATGATTTCTATTTGATTATTGAATATGATAATTAAATGTTAAATCAAAGCAATATATTATTATGATTCTTTTCAAAATTATTCAATTTTTTTTCTTGTGTTTATTCATAGAAAATGGCCACGTGTCTAACCTAAATGAATTATTATTCTGATGACCCTGAGATACGGATTATTGTTTTTTGTGCCGAAATATTCAACGCTAACTCGTGCATTTCATTGATTAGATGTAATCGATGAGTACTACGCTTTTTTTAAAAAGGTTTGATCTCTGCTTGAATGCATGTCATTATTGATATAACCATCAACCTTGATTGAAGGTGCCCACATACCGATAAACTGATGACGTCCAACAAAAAAAAAAATAAAGCTAATTTATTAAAATCATTAACCTTAATCAATGCTTATTGCTTAATATTCATTGAAGAAGAAAAAAATATTAGTTACAAAAGGTGTTGATGAAGAATACAAATTTGATTAAAATTAGATATTGTTTAGTATAGAAGACAACTAGAAGTGTCAATAGGAAAATGACATTGTCCCTGAAGAATAATGAGATATGAATATGTTGTTCATCTATCCATTACGCTTCATTGATTTAAAATCTTGCTAACACATGCTATTAACTAAGACATTATATCTGCATGTAAGAATACATTCGTTGAAAAAAAATTGCCAAACAGAAAAAATAAAGATGTATGCTTTCTGTTCAAGAAAAATACTGACTATATTTTAATTTGATAGTACGAATAACGTTTTGCATTAGTTTTTAAAAAAGTAATGTCATGTTTTCGAAAATTACAAATAAAACCACAAATGAGTTATTATTATAATATTTTTTAAAAATTGAATGGGTACTGGGATTTATTTAGGTGAGATTCATTAAATTAAGTTGAACTACTGAACTTTTCTGTTGGTAGTATAAAATAGATTTGTAACTGTATCAAAAAAAGAAATATAGTTCTAATGCATTAGGAGTCACCCTCAGTTAGGTTTCTGTGTTCAATCTAAACCTCATCCTGCAATAGCAGACTCGGGGTTTTCTATTATGTCTCATTTATTTTCATAGTTTTTAATTAAAAGAGTCGTCTATGGCTGGAAGAGGCTTAGTTCCTTTCGTCTAATGAGAAAAATTCTCATTAAATTCTCCAAAAACATAAACCTTGGACGCTGCTTGCCAAAAGCTTATTCCACTGAAAGAAATGAGATATTAGCCTATTTCAAATTTGATATTAGATTTCAAGCCTTCATAGGTTCATATTGTCAGTTTTTTTACATAAAGAGTTATAATATATTAAGTATATAAATTAAACACTTTGCATTGAGAATTTCTTAAATTAAATTCTGAAAGTATCCTAATTCATAATGTGATCAAATTCAATTCATTGATTATCGAAGAAAAGCACTTTTTCATCTATCTATTTGAATTAGTTTTAATTGCACAACCTTCTAATACTGATTTATTGAACTATTCTATTTTTATTACATGAAAAGAAAAACATTTTTATTCAAAACTAACTCTGAATCATCAAAATTTCAAGGAAATATTCATTACCTTACAACCATTGCATATAATGATCTAACAAACATATTAATTATTTTTCTTTTGCAAACTTATTCATTTCTGTGTCTCACTTGAAGAGCAATTCAAGTGTATATGTTCTTTCCAGTATCAGAAGAATGATGATGATATAAAACAATTTGTCGTTTGTCAGGTTGTTCTTTTCTTTTTTCATCTTAACACTTCATGTCAAATGCGTGTACTCTCTCGATTAAGTACAATGAATGAACAACACACTTCTTTAAAGTTTGATCTCTGCTTGAAATCATGTCATTGTCGATATGCGCATCATCATTGATTGAAGGTGTCCACATGTCATCACATGGCGGCAAGGTGAACACATCCAAAAAGAAAAATAAAACTAATTTATCAGAATCTTAGTTTCTCTTTCTCACTTCAAATTAATACTCATTGCTTGATAGTTTTATGGGAGAAAAACAAAACGTATTTCATTAGACAAGGTGTTGATGATGAACACAAAGTTAATTAGAATTAGATGTTGTTCAGTTTGAAAAAAAAATGAACAAATGTCAATAGAAAAATAATATTGTCCCTAAAGACCATTGATATAACAGTTCATCTGTACATTACGCTTCATTTTGTTTACAAATTATACGAGCTAATAGGTCATTTCCACTCACAAATATATTATATTTTAAATAAAACTCAATCAAAAAACTTTCAATCATCGTTTTTCTCTCTAGTGAACAAAATAGAAATATTGTACTATATCTTATATTAAACAGACAATTATTCAAATCTATATTCCGTTCAGAAAACAAAAAGCTACTATTCTAAATACCATTAATCTTATTGATTATGCAAACTAATCGATTTTGTTTCAGCGAGTGATGAGTATACACCTGCATGTATACATTTCTCATAATAGATCAATTGTGAATGCACATAGACATTCCACATAGATCTGATTCTATTGTAATATCATCATTTTTAATCGTTTATCAAATAAAATTCTTTCCTTTTTTTTTTTTTCCTTTTTCACTTCATTATTATTCGAAACGAGACGATCATAATCATCATTTGTATTCGTTCTTCTATGACATGTGTCTAACAAGAGAAAAAAAAACGTGATGAATACAATGAATATAAAGTCAATGGTTTCCCACTGTGCTATAACACGTGACAATCTAGTCGAAGAAGTAAAGAGAGAGACAAATGTTTGATGAGTATTCGATTGACTACGGTAGAGTCTCACATCTGTGCATATCATATAGCAAAAGCATACTTGTCTAGTTTGGCAACAGCCGTGTTCACTAACAAGACAAAATTTTCATAACGTTCTGTAAACATTGATTAATGATAAAATTCAGATTAACTATATGATAAAGTAGAAATTAAAACGATAAAGAATAATTAATGAAATGAGAATGGAAATTTCTGAATCTTGTAATTCAAACATCATAATTGAGAGATCTATTATACCAATTAAAAATTAATGTGTCAAACGGTTGAATTCTTTCATAATAATGAAGGTGAATTCATACTCAAAAGTAATATGGTCCAATTCAAACAAAGAATTTTAACTATTAATAAATTACTCTATATAGATATATGCACTGATCTTCATTAAAAACAAATGATATATCCAATATATGTGATAGTGACAACTCTTGTTGGTCTAATCGTCTTTCAAATGCTTCAAACATCAATAGTGAGAAATGTTTTGTCAAAATCGCAATCATTATTTTACAGTTCTGTTATAAATATAAATAAACTGATACTTTCTTATGATTAGTAAACTTTAATCGATTTATTATAAAAATATAACGAATTTTAACGGTATCTAAATTGACCAAGAAGTCGTAGCAAAGCAAGACAAATACTTAGTTCCTTTCAGAAATCTACCGTCTCTAATTTCAGAAGAAGAAAATGCTCATTCTGTTCGGCTTCAAACGAAGACTAAACTTCTTGTACAAGTTGTTTTTCTGATTTCGTCAGTACTAGAAAGGCGTTCTGTTGACTTAATTCTTATTTGTATTTTTTGTTTCAAATTATTAAATCAAGACCACCCGATGATCATTGTATGTACAAAAGAAAAAAAAAAGTGTCACATCAATCTTATGATCAAGCGCTTCCTGCTATATTTTCGAGCATGTGTGGCTGTAATCTGAGATTTCAATACACATTCTCATGTTTCGCTTAATGATTGTCAATTGAACATGAACGACAATTTTTTTTCACTGCACAGCAAGATGATGACGATGATGATGAAAAAAAAAAAAAAAAAGAAAATAGCTGTTCACAAAATTTTTTTTTTCTTCTCTTGATATGAAAAAAATATTGTCAATATGATTGGACTGTTTTATATTCGATTCATGGAATGATTGGTTATTTATAGAGAGAGTGAAAGTGAACAGAAATTGACAAATACGGAAAAAATATGTTGACAGATTGTCAACGGGTTTCGAACTGACATTTTTTTATTTTACTTATTCATTCAGTTGTAAAAGAACATCACGATATATGTATGAATTTGAATAATATGGCATCAAGTAGTGAAGAAGAACATGAACTTAATGTTTGTGATGATGATAATGATATGAATCAAAGTGAAATAAAAACTGAAAATTCATCAATAATTTATGATCGTCATAATAAAGAAAATCATCATGAAATACCTTCAATATTTCCATCAATAACTTATCCACATATACTTCCATTTGTTCAACCTCCAATAAAATCTAATGGATTATTTATTCCAAATTTCTTTCCATATTCATCACCAACTCTATCAAATACTGATAAAGCTTCATCATCATCATCTTCATCAACAACAACAACAAGTCGACGACGACATCGTAATTCATCAACAACACTTAATGATAATGGTACAACTGGTGATGACGTAACAGATTTACGTTTAAAAATAAATTCACGTGAACGTAAACGTATGCATGATTTAAATTCTGCATTAGATAGTTTACGTGAAGTTATTCCATATGCAAAAAATCCATCGGTACGTAAATTATCAAAAATGGCAACGTTATTATTAGCAAGAAATTATATTATTATGTTAACAAAAACACTTGATGATATGAGACAACATTTAGCAACATGTTATCAAAATAAATCTGAACAAGATAAATCTCAAACAATATGTCCAAAAGCTCAACTTAATTTACCATGTTTTTGTTCAATTTGTTTAACATCAAATATCAATATTGAACAAGAACATCAACAAACATTTCCATCAATTATATCATTTGTACCAACATCATCAAAAACAAAAAACTAATTCTTGATTATATCACTTTTGTTTGTTTTTTTTCATCTTTATTATGCAGAAAAAAAAGAGAAAATATAGAATTTATTTGACCAGCAACAGGATTTAGGAGAAAAAAAGTAATAATAATAATTCATCGATAGACCTTGTTTTTTTTTGTTTTCATTTTTAAACATAAGAAAATATAATGTGTAATCTGTACAATATGATGATTAAATCTTCATTCATTTTCTTTGCTTTTTCTTTCTGTATCTGGCATGAGGAAGAATTTATTGTTTACCAATTGAGAGGAGCAACATTGAAACGTGAAATAATACGATCTTGATCAGCTAGATCTTTTTGAACTTTACGTCGCATATAAAATATTGAACAATCACGACTAAAAAGAAGATTATAATAGTTATTTATTTATCAACAGAATAATAAAAGTTAAAATCGTGTAGATGTTATAAAACGGATACAAAACTTCTATTACTATTTAACTAATTCATTCGTTGAAAATAGATTTAGATTTCATCATTCGTTAAGAAGAAATAATTTTTGATATAGAAATAGTTTGTCAAGACTTAATCTATTTCAAATCACTAGATGTATCGCTTATAAACACAAGGCATATTTCAAGTGAATATTTGAATGAAAATCATAGATTAAACGAATTTACTATCATCATACTGTTGTTCTCGTCTGCTCTATTTGGCATCAATTCAATCTGAGTTAAGAGTCTATCAAATTGGTCTCGAACCTAGCTCTAAAACTTTCGGACTCAATGGGCTCTAGCGCCTCAGTACATATCCAAATATATGCAATCATATTGCCTTGATCGGAACTATTCATCTCTTTTGATTTTTTAATCATACTGGAATAATGAGTAAAGACAGAGGTTTTAATAACATTAAAAAAAAAGGTCAATCTAATCGAGCTTCGTTATATATTTTTTGTTTCATTAAAACTTACTTTGTACAAAGGACATCTTCAAGTCTAGCACCTTGACATCGTTGACATTCCGTCCATAAACGTGTAAATTTTTCTTCTAATTCTTGTAATGATTCAATTTCTTTTTGATAATAATCACCTTCTTTTTGTTTACAATATGAACATAGAGCAGTACCTTAAATAAATAATACAAATTCGAATATATATTCTCTATAATTGATAATTCATTTTTTTATAATGAAATTAAAAATATTTTAAATTTGTTTATGATATTCATTCAAAGAAAATTTCATCTCATGTTTATTTTTGTTTTCTTTTTTTTACCTTGTTCTTGCAATACAGTTTTACATCCAATACATTTATCTTTTTTTGTTATAAAACTTGCTAAACCTCCAACTTTTGATGTTACTACTGTTTTAACAGATGTATGTTCACCATCTAAAATAATCAAATAAATATGTTTTTAAATCGATATACCGAACAAAAAAACAAAAAATGTTTAATTTACGTAAAAGTACTGATTCAGCTTTTGCATCACCTAAAATAGGTTCAAATATACGTAATAATGGTTTTGATATTTGTTGTTCAAGATAATATTTAGTATCAATTGGAACATTATTATCTAAGACATAGACTGGATCCTAAAAGATACAAATATAAATATATATTTTCTATGAAAACTACCTTATAATCATTTTATATTGAGTATCGTAGGAGATGAAGATATTTACAGAAGATCAATCATTGTATAATTAAAAATAATTTAACTAGACAAATAATTGTATTTTACTTATTTTCAATGTCGACTGATAAGTAATAACAACCTTTTTTAGTTAAAACAAATATGTTTGACTGAGATTGGACAGAAGATTTATTGAACACAAAACAATAGAACTTTTTCGAAAGTTATTTTTAATTTTTCAAAGATAGGGAGAAAAAGTTTTATTGTCTTTTTTTTTATCACAATTCGAACGCTGCTATATCATTGAAAGTTGAACTACAGTTTGATATTAATGAATGATCTTCTTTTATTGTTACAGCTGTAAAAATTATGCTTTTGTTATTAAGTCGTGAAAAAAGTCTTTCAGTGCTACAGTAATAACTCTTTTCAGGAACAAACTTCCGAAAAATAAATTTCATCATTGTAAGATCGGTTGTCTTAGGTACAAACATAAATAAAAATAGTTTGTTTGAACCGAGAAAGTTTCTAAGAATGTAAACTTTTCTTAAATAATTCTAATAAAAGAGAAATCCTTTTGAATGAGTGCATTATCATTATTTTCTAATCATTTAAACTTGTCACTGTTCAGTCAAATGAAATGAAAATTTTCAATTAAATTCAAACTTTCATATATATCTTGCGTTAATGTAAGTTTTAGCTACTTATCATATTAAATTACTTAATTGTAATCATTGCAAAGGTCAGAAATATGCGAGTGCGTTACTTATGGACAGGCTGATAAAGTATTTTCTTTTATTGTGAAAAGCAAAAATTTCGTTTTCTTTTTCTCAGTGAAATTCAAATGTTTATTCGTTTTTTTTTGCTCACCAATTCTCAAAAACACTCAACTTACTGGAGACTTCGGAATATTCCTGATTGTATCTTACTATTTTGATAGTTAATTATTGAAGAATCTCTTTGACACAGACAAGTAGATAAATAAATAACTTACTTCGGCTCGTTCATAAGCTGCTTGATTTTTAGTTCCTGGTATAATAACATAAGGAACTCGATCACCTAAATTAGGTGCACTACCAGGATCACGTTTACGCATTTTATTAGCTAATTCAACATGTGGTTGTTTATTAGCATATTCTCCATCAGTTTTTGTTAATTCTTTACTAATAACTAATTGTGATATATCAATACGATTACATAATAAATCTGAAATAACATTTTTAACATATTCAACAGCACCATTTGGATCTCTAATAAACAAAATACAAATAAAAAAAAAAAATCTTTAAAAATTTCAAACCTTTCAATAAGTAATTTTTCTAAACATGTACTTATTAAACTAGCAACAAGTTCACAATTATCACGTCGTACTGTTTCAATACCTTTACAATCCATTTTATCATGTTTATCTGGACGTGTAAAATAAAGACCAGCATAACGTTTTTTATTAATTAATAAATATGGATAATAACATTTTTCAAATTCAAGTTTAATTGGTGGTGGAAAACTTGATGATACAGTTGTTGCTGCTAAACGGCCAAGTTTCATAGCTTCTTCTAATGTTTTAACACCAAATTTAATCATAACTGAATCTGTATCACCATATATAACTTTTGCATCATGTTCATAACCTTTAGTTATTGTAAATTCATTTTCAATTAAAACTTTTGTTTTTTCAATCATTTCACGACCAAATGCTGTTACTGATTGAGATATTTCAAGACATGGTAATTTACCAACTTGTGCACCTGTAAAACCATATACTGAATTAGCAGATATTTTTAAAGCATTTTGACGACCATCAAGAACTTTTTTACGAAATTCATCAGTTTCTTCTTTCATCATCTGAACATAACCAACAAAGAAAAGAAATTTTAAATAATGAATTACAAAAAAAAAAAATGAATTTTATTCATAGAATATAAAAATACCTGTTTTGCTTTTTTACGAGCACTAAGTAAATTTTCAAGAATTTCAGGTAATAATCCACGACGAACTTTAGCTGTTACGAAACAATTACCACTTGGTGTTGTGATATATTCATCATCCGATAGACTAGAAAAAGAATAAAAAAAAAAACAAATGACTATAGAACTATTCGACAAAGTATTACAATAAGAAATTCTATACAATCTACTTATTCTTATTATATTTATATTTAATTTAAAAAAGAAAACAACACCAAACTTACGTCTGTTTTATTCTACCATCATTAATTAATGTTGAATAACATAAATTATGTGCTTGCATAATTGATGGATACAGTGATGAAAAATCTAATGTTGTTATTGGTGTATCATAATATCCACGTATTGGTTCAATAACTGTAGCACCAGTAAAATCATCACCTGTTTCATTAATTTTTAATGCTGGTATCAATAAATTTTTTTCTTTACATTTTCGTAAAATTTGTGATATAACTTTTATTTGTTGACCACGTTGAAGTAAATAATTCATTGGTACACCAGTAACACGAGCCATTTCCATATAATTAATTAATGACATTAATTTTTCTAATAAACGTAATGGTAAATAAGCATCTTTAAGACAATACACAGCAAGACGATGACGTGTTTGAGCATTACCATTCTATTCAAAAATTTAAAAAAAAAGACATTCAAAAAAATAAAAACTTACTTGTAAATCAGATATTATTGAATGTTGTACATCTTCTTTTTGTTGTTGAAGAAAATGAAAACTGACAGCATTAAGTGTATATGAACGAAGTTTATATTCCCGAAGAAGAACCTAAACATAAAACAACTCTCTATTTATTCATTATTCACTTGTTAGAAATTCTATCATAATTTTAGAATTGAAATTCATATTAAGAATGCAACAGTTTTAGATAAAGCCCTGCACTAGTCTAGACATGTGCATATAAAATAGCGATGAGTGCATGATAAAACTACAGTGATCTTAGAACAATGTTAAATTTGCCGATCGGAAGAGATTTCTTTCATGAAAATAGTTGAATTTCATAAAACATGATTAAATCGTAAGAACTAAACTTTTCTCGAGAAACAAATCGAACATGAGAATTTCTACAAACGTCCTATAGTTTCGGATCCTACAATCTCCAAAATTGAATAGTCTATTGTTGTAAAAATTAGCTATTTTCTTGAAATGATCGTCCCAATCGAAAGAATCAACAGTTTTATCATTCATTCACCGTCTTCATCGTTGATCTATACATACACGTTTAGACCGTTACATCTCTACTACCTATCAGTTTTGTTTTTCATTGGTTACAATAATGAAAGAAAATGCTAAATAATAAGAATATTAAAACAAAATTCATTTACCAATAAAAGATCAAATAAAATTCTTCCTTCTAAATTAACTTGTTTATTTTCACGTCGTCCTAATTGTTTCGATTGAAGAACTGTTGTACGTGCTG